TTATTGGCAGACACAACATCTTTGTTTGTATGTGGTGCTGGGGATCGAACCCGGGCCGCACGCATGCCAGGTGAGCGCGCTACCACTTGAGCCACATCCCCAGCCCCCATTATTTCTATACTTTTTAATTTTATTTCCTTTATCCTCTTTCATCTTAGTTTATTGGTTTTTAGACTTGAATAAAACATTTAATTCATTTCTTTTCATTTTCATTATTTATATGAAGATATTAATTTTCCTGAGCATTTTTATAAAGTAAATATAACACTGATATCTTAAAGCAAAAATAAAGGAAATTACAGGTGAATCTCACCTTTTTAAAAAAAATAAATAATCTGGTATGGTTCCAGGAATGCAAGGATAGTTCAATAGATTAGGAAATCCAGGGATATAATTCACAAATTGTCAACTCTAAAGAGGAAAGAACTATACAACCTTCTCCACAGACTCACCGAAAACACCTTCAAAACTCAACTCTCATCAGTGTTCTGATAAAACACTTTACTAAAATAAAAATCAATGGAGACATCTTTAATATGGTGAAATATATATACCTCAACCTTAAAGCTAGCTTCCAATTTACTGAGGAAACACTAAAATCATTCCCACTGGAACAAGAAAAAGTTACTTACTATTCTCAACTATTTAAACAGTATTGAAATTACCAGAAAACACCATCAAGAAATTAAAAGTGGTAATGAGAATAAGAACTATAAAGGAAGATTTATTTAAACTTTATCTATTGCAGATAATATAACGGTAAAGCCAGGAAATCTAGGAGAATCAACTAACAATGATGATTAAATTAGGTAGAAGATACTTTGAAAAATCATAAATATGTATGTACACATAAACACAAAATAATGAAAAAGAACTCACTTAAAATAGCAACAAAAAGATGACTTTTTTGGTGAAATCAACAAAAAGGTTGATTTAACAAATGGAATGAAACACATTGTTCTTTGATAGGATAGTTTGGAATCATAAAACTGCCAATTCTCCTGAAGTTAATATATATGTTTAACTTCAATGAGATTTCAGGAACAATACCAATTGCAAGAGAAGGGTATATACAGACATCATCATTAAATTTCATATGGAAATGAAAATAAGAATAGCCAGTAAAACCCTGAAAAAGAAGCATAATGAGAGAATAGCCTTGTTCAATCACATACTAAAACGTCTGTTATTAAAATGGTATATGAAGGTTGGGGATAAAGCTCAGTGTGGTAGAGGGCTTGCTACCTAGCATGCAAGAGGCCCTGGATTTGATCCCAAGCACTGCAAAGAAAAAAAGGAAAAAAACAAAAACACTACACAATAGTGTGGAAAGAGCACATGAATTTAGAATTGAAGCAATAGAAAAAGTTGAGAAAGATTTACATAGAAATATGATGTTAATATACAACCAAAGTAGCATCTCAAATCCCTGGGCAAAGGGTTAAGTAATTTTTACTTAATTATGTTCAATCAAGGAGACACATTTTGAAGGAGTTAAAATTACCCATAACTCAACTATATTCCATAATGAATTTCAAATGTGTTCAAGATTCAAATATTAAAAATGAAGATTCCATACAATATCAAGAAAGAATCTCACTACACATTAATGCCATTTATAAATAAGTCAACCTATGATGTCAGAAGTCAAAGATAGTGGCCCACTACTTTTGAAAAGAGAAAAGGTGATAATAAAGAGTTGAAAGGGTTAAAACTAAATATTCTGTCTTCTTGAAATAAAACATGAAAAGCACAGGTCTGATTTTTATAACACTATGATACAAGAATTAATATATTCCCCAACTTTACATGTGATGAAAAAAGACACAGGGAGGTTAAGTAATTCCCATAGACCACACACTTATCAACAAGTGGGACCATAATTTTAACCTAGGCCAAGTAACTTTAAAGTCAGCACACTTAACAAACTTTCCAGGTGTCAGAAGTTAAATGCAACATTATCAACAACATTAAACAGTATGGTTAACCTTGGGGATTATAGTTTGATCCTTTCCACTATTATATGGCCTTCCTTATATACAAGAATTGGAAGAATGCCACTGTAGGAAAGTTAATGGTATGAAGGCAGTAACTATGTCTGCTTCCTATCTCAGAATATTACACCAAGCATCCAGTGCAGCGTCTGGAACAGAGTGACTGGTGAATAGTATCACAGACAAATTATAGATTTACTTTTTACATTATACATTCAATATAATGAAAAAAAATTAAACAGATCAAATAGCAAAAGATACAAACAGTTCACAATAAAGATAGCTCTGAAATAAAAAAAAAACCTGCTATCGTTCCTAGTAAATGTAAATTAAAATTACACTGAAGATACTATTTTCAATCAGAATAAGATGTTAATATTCCCTGTTGGTGAGTTTATAAAAAACATACTGCAGGGCTGGGGGTTGTGGCTCAGTGGCAGAGTGCTTGCCTAGGATACATGAGGCACTGGATTCGATTCCCAGCACCACATCATAAATAAATAAATGAATAAAGGTGTTGTGCCCGTCTACAACTAATATATATAAAAAAAAAATTGTGATTGTGTGTGTGTATGTGTGTGTGTGTGTGTGTGTGTGTGTATTAGTGTGTATACACATACATACACATATTTCCTACAATAGATGGAAAAAATATCCCATATGTTACTGAAAAGAAAGCAAACTAGTAGACTCCGACAGAGGGGTTAAAATATCTAAAAAACTTGGGCTGGGGTTGTGGCTAAGTGGTTGAGCAGTTGTCTAGCATGTGTGAGGTACTTGGTTCGATTATTAGCACCAAAAATAAATTTTTTTTTAAAAAAGGCCCATCAACAACTAAAAATTTATATATATATAAAACAAACTGACATTTACCAAACAGTCTTTCTTCTAAGAATCTACCTTCAATTCATACATTTTCAAATGCAAAGAAAAATAGATACCATGTTATCCATCATCCACTATTTGTAAGAGGAAAAGACTGAAAATAACTCAAATACCATCAACAAACTGATTGAACAAATAACCAGGAATTATCTTACATATGATCAATCAAAGCTCTTAGGGGTGAAGAAAAATGTATTTACTTAATTAAAAAAAATAAGAAACATAACATTAAAATTAAAAATATTTAGAAAAGAAGCACAGGAACCACAATTTGCTGTAAAAACACTCCCACTATGGCTACCTAAGGCTACCACCATGGAATTGATCATGGAATTGGAAAGAGATATACACAGAAGCACACAGTTCTATATAATATTTCCATTATACAAATATATTGAATAGTACAAAATCTTAAAAGCACAGATAATACTAAAATGGAATAAAATTAGAAGAAAATGTAAGTTGAATATTTTTAGTATTACTAAGGACTGAATTATGTGTGGTCCCCTTCATACCCACATAATTCCTATCTTAAAACCCAAAACTCCAATATCTTAGAGATAGGATCTTTAGGAAGGTAATTAAAATTAAAGATCATAAGGATGGGCCCTAATCCAATAGGACTGGTATCCATTCAAGAAAAGTCACCAGAAGGCTCTCTCTCTCTCTGTCTCCATTCATATACAGAGGAAAAACCATACATGGACACAGCAAACAGGAAGGCTGTCTTCAAATAAGGAAGAAGCCTCAAACTGATGAAGAAAGCAATTATGATACCATCTTTTTTTTTTAACATTTTTTAGTCATATATGGACACAATATCTTTATTTTGTTAGTTTTTATGTAGAGCTGAGGATTGAACCCAGTGCCTCACGTGTACGAGGCAGGGGTTCTGCCACTGAGTCACAACCCCAGCCCATATGATACCATTTTGATAACGGCTTTCAGCCTCCAGAACTGTGAGAATATAAAATACTATAAACTCACCCTATCTGGGGTATTTTGTCATGGCATCCCTAACACTAATACAAATAATTATCTATTAAGTTTCTATAATTTTTAATAATGGACTAAAGAATTCCTATAAATAACTATGCTGCTATAAAAAAGAATGAGGAAGAACTACCTGTTATTGATAGTAATTGATTTCCAAGATAACACTATGAAGTGAAAAACGGAAGCCGAGAATATACATATACTGTTATCTTTTCTACAATAGAAATATTCTAACAATGAATATTCTAACAATGAATTACGTATTTCCTTAATTTTTAAAGAAAAAAGTAAGAAACATAACATTAAAATTAAAAATATTTAGAAAAGAAGCACAGGAACCAAGAGGAAAAAATAAAATTGAAATCTAAGTTTCTCTGGAGTATATCTTTTTATGTACATTTTACTTTTAACCCCCCCCCACACACACATACATATCCACACACAAATTCAAAACTAAAGACTTTAATACTCAAGTAAAAACAAGATAATCATTCCTACGCTAAGCTTTAACAATTTCAAAATTCATACTTCTAACCTCTTTCCAACTCCACAAAAGAAATTCAAAAGAGAAACCCAGCATGATAGTACACCCTGTAAGTATAGGTTCTCAGAAGACTGAAGCATGAGTATACCAAGTTCCAGGCCAGCCTGGGCAATATGTTGAGACCCTGTGTCAAAATAAAAACTAAAAGAGCTGGGGCTGTAGCTCAGTGGTAGAGCATCCCTGGGTTCAATCACCAGTACTGCAAAAAATTTAAAAAGAGTAATCATACTGCTGATTGGAGTTGTAGCTCAATGGTAGAGGGCTTGCCTGCATGTTTGAGGCACTGGTTCAAGTCTCAGCACCACATGCAGATAGATAGATAAAAGTCTATTGACAGCCAAAAAAACCTTTTTTTTTTTTAAGAAGAGTAATCATACTAACATTTACCATTTATCATAAGTTTATTTATAATAATCTATTTGTATTTGGGGCATCAATTTGAGGCAGACTGTCATCATATGATGACACAACAGTGGAATTAAGTGAGATTCCAAGATATATCTGGTTAACAAATGTAACAACACTATAGCACTTTCAATACATTACAATGAATACCTAATTTTTAATAGTATATGAATTACCTGTTTGTATTCACTGACACAACTTTGACAGCAAAATCGTTTCTGCTGACCATCAATCACCAGAACATTATTTCCAGCACCTTTACTGGGCAAATATTCTCCACACTGTTCACAGCAATTCATTATGAGACCATTGGCCATTCTGTATCTATTAAAGCAGTGGTCACTGCACAGTTTATGAGTCATATTTTTAAAGCTAACTTCATGGCGAATCTGAAAGAAAAACAATAAACAGAATTTTAAAAAACAAACTCATAAACCTTGGTCATGTTCCTGGAGCAGTGTTTGTCAGGTTCCTACCCTGAAAATTTAATTTGCACCCCCCAACTCCCAATTCTCTATAGTACTCTTTAGAAGGGATTCACTATGCTCAGGCCACAATTAAATGCCAATAAAATGATGACTGTAGTGCAGCAAATTAATGTCCCTTATCTTACATTATCATCCATTTTGTTTGTGTTTATGTGGCAAGAGCAACTAAAATGTATTAATTTAGCAGGAATTACAAATACAGTACAGTTTTGTTGCCTATAGTCCTCATGCTGAATGTTTTTAGCAGACTGAGGTCTCTGAAAACTGTGAATGCCAAATAAAAATTTCTTCCTCCTCAAAAAAAAAAAAAAAAACTCGTAGGCAGGCACAGTGGCACATGCCTGTAATCCCAGGGACACAGGAGGCCTGAAATGGGAAGATCAAAAGTTCAAAGCCAGCCTCAGCCTTGGTGAGGCACTAAGCAACTCAGTGAGACTCTGTCTCTAAATAAAATACAAAATAGGGCTGAGGATGTGGCTCAGTGGTGGAATGCCTCTGAGTTCAATCCCCAGTACCCTTCCCTGCCCCAAAAAAGCATACTCGTGTTCAAGTAACTAAATAATAAGATGATCCAACAGAAAAAAAGACCCAATAAGGCTTGTTTGGGGAAAAGGAAAAATAAAATGCATTTCTTTAAAACTATTTTTACATGCCCAAGAACACATATATAGCACTGAAAAAGAGAAATCCCACCAGTAACATCACTATAAACTTTTCTAGATGTATATTAAAATAACAGAAAATAACCAAGATTGGATAGTGTTGATACTAACAAACATACTAGGAAATTTCAAGTGATTCCAAAAGAATTGCTCTAAAAAAGGAAGGAGAGAGAGAACCAATTATTATGAATAATTCAAATGAGAAATGTATCCACAGTTTTCTTTTTATTATCATAATTAACAATATTAATTTACCAAAAAATATTTCCTTCCAGTTGGGGAAGAAGGCACACACTTTAATCCCAGTTATTTAGGAATCTGAGTTGGAGGATTCCCTGAGCTCAAGCTCAAGACCAGCGTGGGCAATAGTGAGACCAGTGTGGGCAATAGTGAGACCAGTATCAAAACACAGAAAATATTCTTCCATTTTTACTTCCCAGCAAAAGTATTTACTGTCTTTCCTGTATAGTCAGACAATTTGTTTAACTAAACATGTTACTAGATCAAAAAGATCAACCACAATACTTATTTTTGTCTGTGACTGCTCCCAACCTCAGGAAAAAAAATAGACAACATAATTTTTCCAAATTCAGCACCTTATTGAAGAATGGGATTCTTAGATAATATACTCAATCTCAAGGAAATACACTTGATTTTTTAAAAGCTATGTAATAGCTAGTGGAGTTTAAAATAGTCCCAGCTAAAGTATAAAGTATACAGTATAAAAATACAAACCTCTGTTAGTTTACCACAGATTGTACATCTTGATTTATTTAGAGTTCCTTTAGTAGGATTCTGTTTGTCTTCATAAAGAGACAAACAAGATGTACTACAGAATTCCTGGAAGGACTCACTTGAATCTACTTGAGCAACAATGGTTCCTTTCATCGTAGTTATATCTCTGAAAAATAAAAGGTACAACTTAAAGTCAAATTCCATTAGAAAACTGATGTTTTCATTTCCATAGATTGAATCACAGAAATCAAACAACTTTCGTATCCAGGAAATCATTTTTACTACTTATAAATTCTTGGCAATAAAATTTGAAAAGTGAAAACATCTTATAGTATTAAATTCCTGCTACTGTGCAATTTTCTCCAAATTTAGTAGCAAGGCTTTTAGATATTGGAAATAATAAAAGTGGCTATTAATTACATGGAATTAATGTCAAGGACTAATTTATTGAGATTTAAGTTTATATATACTTATTGAATTCTCCTCCCTTGGGTAAGTAGAAAACATGAGACAGGAATATGACATACATTTAAGAGAAGTAACTGCAATCTTTTTTGCTTAAATGCACTACCCCATTCTCCAAATAATGTTATCCACCATTCTACATTGCTCTCCCACTGCAATTAGAAATATTAGGAAATAACATTATTGATGAACCTTCCTTTAAAAGAAGGAAAATCTGAATTCCAAAACCCTCCACTGTAGTATTTAAACCTACTACTATAAAGAAATACAAAAACTATAAATTAATTGTTTCCATATTTGAAGTTATTAAACATGTACCTAGCACTGAACCCTTTTTCAGAGTTCCAAGATCTAAAAATAGTGTCACAGTCTTAGGCTGCACCAAGAAATGTCAATGTGGCTTTACCTTGTATATAATATACCATATTCCAGTTATCTTTAATTAGAAAAGCTAGTTTAAAAAGGGAGGAGAGGATCCTGTCTTTCCTAGGCTAACAAAAATCTAGTACCTGAATCCAAAAACTATAATGATTAATGTGTTCAAAAGAAACACATATAAAACCCAAAGGCTTATAGATTTTTATTAATCTCAATCTAAAGATACTATAAAATTTGACCCAGAACTATTCACATGTTTAGCTTTTTTTAAATTTTATTTTTATGGGGGAAGTGGGGTACTGGGGATTAAATCCAGAGGTACTTTACCAATAAGCCATATCCCCAGCCCTTTTGTTTTTTGAGACAGGATTTCATTAAATTGCTTAGGGCCTCACTAAGTTGCTACGATTGGACTTGAAATTTTGATCATCCTGCCTCAGCTTCACTGGGATTATAGACATGCACCACTGCACAACAGCTTACTTAACATTTTTATCTGCCAAAAGAGCTAAATTCTTATAATAATGTATTCAGTGGCAGAGTACTTACTTAGCCTGTGTGAGGCCCTAGGTTTGATCCCCAGTACCACAAAACCAAACACACAAAAATTTTAAAATAATGTAAATAACCATGTATGTTTACAAATTCCAGGAGTCCAAGTAATAAACTGTATTTATAAGCCACCTGGGCTTGATGGAGAAATTTCCAAAGCTGTTACAAATCTGAGCTTGATTTAAGATTCAAAGTAGCTTACCAATTCTTAAAACATAGCAATTCACCTTCAAGACTCTCACTGAAAATTTTCTTAAAATTTTACATCACCAATATTCAACCACATGGAATTGTACTGAAAGATAAACCTTACTTTTTACACATAACACAGAGTTTCTTTGGAGCAGGCTTGTGGGAGAAGGAAGAAAGGCAGGTAGTCGAACAAAAGAGATGAGCTGATCCTTTTCGTTGATAAGCTGTCTGTCCCTTCTGTAAAGGTTTTTTGCAGTTTGCACAAGTAACTTTAACTGGTTTAGTGGGTTGCTGTTGGGCAGAAGGCTGAAAAATCTGTTTAGGAAGTGAGGCCACTGGTGATAAAGAATCCACCCCTGTTTGTTTCTGATTACGGGGAAATGATGCTGACTGGGAGATCCAAGAATCTGAAAAACAAAATGCACAAGGATGATTAATAAAATAGGTGTTTATACATATTGAAATTTACATCAGAAAAATAGTTTTGACTTCCTATTGTATACAAGTTTAAATGTTAATATAGCAACCATCAAGTCTGACTCTTACGAACAATGTTTAGTATTCTTGAAAACTGCTAGTAATTTTAAGTGTTTCAACAACAACAAAGTATATGTTAGGTAACATGTTCTTTAATTAGTTCAACTTCACCACTCCACAATGTACGCATATTTCAAAACATGATGTAAATGCTAAAAAATATAATAATTTTTGTCATTTACAAAAGACTAGTTCATATTCTAGCTCCATTACTTATAAAATTGTTATGCTAGTTAAATTATGCCTCACTCTTCTCTAAAATGGAAATGGTACCAAACTCATACAAACGGTAAATAGTAAAAGAGATAATATATGAAATAAAGCATAATGACCAGCATAGAGGAAGCACTAAAACAAATATTCATTAGTTATTAGGCAGGAAGTATTCATGTATTTGTGGAATGTTACTTTAAATAAAGAAAATATAATGAAATTTTAATCAAACAGGACCTTTAACAAATGAAACACAGGTCTGACAAGGCTTATATAATTATTTTCAAACATTTCTTTTGAGATGGGGGCAGGCCTTGACTTGATCGCCTGGCCCCAAGCGATCCACCTCAGCCTTCCAAGTGCTGGGATTACAACTGTGCACCAACACACCCAGTTTCCAAACATCTTTATAAGAACAGTTTTGCCACACATTTAGTTTCATGACCTCTAAATATACCACAAAATCTCAGAAGTTAGAGGATTAACACAGAAATTTTGGAGTTAAGCTTATGTATAATGACCAATCCAACAACAAATTACAACTGCAAAGGTTCAACAGAGAACTGAGTTATGTGCAACTAATAATACTAGATGAATGAATTAGTCAATTCATTAAAAAGTATTCAATTTTCTCTTTTGTGCTAACCTTCTTTAGTACTCTGAAGGAAGTCTCCAGCTTGCCACACTAGGTCCTGTTCCAAATCCCTGTCATAACACAACCAATACCATAACCTATCTTCAGTTCGAAAGTGTCAAGCTATCAATTCTAATTGCTACTATTGATCTCTCAAATTCTTCCCTTCTCATTCTTTCTGAATTTTGAACTTCCATACATACATAAAAGCTATACTTTCATAAGAAATACAAACATAAAAAGAGCTTGAAGACACTCCAATCCATTCCATCAACCTAATAGTTTCAAGCGACTACACACTGTCATTCAGATTTTAAGTCTACAACAACCCTCCCCCCCCCCAAAAAAAAAAAAATACTTTTATTCAGAGTAAACAAGTACATTCTGGAATCCCAAGACTATCTTGCTACAATCAAGGTAACTGACTAGTTTTAACAAACAGGCAAAAGTACTCATCAACAGAAGAAAAACAAGCAATAAAAGAACGGGGAATTCCATGTTTACAGAGAAAACAAGGCCTTCAATCAAAAATTACGCTTTAGTGCATGCTGGAATTTTGCATGCTTATCTTTTAATACATACCTTAAAAAGTTTATTTAAACTTAAGGGTATCTACTCCCTTGATTTTGGAAAAAATAGCATTTTCGGTTTTTTCAGTTTAGCTGTAAGCCCTGTATAGATAATAAAATGGCTTCCTTTATCTACATTTTAGCCTTTACATCTCCCCTACTTTCACATCTTCACCTCCTCCAGCAATAAAAAACAATTTTTAAAAAAGAAGGGACATAATCTTTGTCTAATCCCTCCATTCCACACAGAGACAAAAGGGAATAGCAGATAAATTTGTCCAAGTCACAATTTGTCCAAGAATCAGTACAAATAGCAAAGATTTTATAACTCTTAATTTACTATTCTCTATTAGGAATAAAAACAGCCTATAAATGCAAGAGCAAGAAATATATGTTTGTATACATTTTTCTCATGAGTATTTCCTTATATAAGAGTTTGAGCAATGCTGGGCACAGTGGCGCACACCTGTAATCCCAGAGGCTCAGGAGGCTGAGGTTCAAAGCCACCCCAGCAACTTAGTGAGGCTCTAAGCAACTTATTGAGACCCTATCTCTAAATATAAAGAATAAAAAGGGCCAGGGATGTGGTCAGTAGTAAAGCACCCTTGGGTTCAATCCCTGGTACCAAGGGAGAAAGAAAAAATGAGTTTGAGTAAATAGGAACACAATTCTGTTTTTCTTTTAAACATAATTTTAGTTGTAGATGGACACAATACCTTTATTTTATTTATCTGTTTATGTATTTTATTTATTTAATGGTGCTGAGGATAGAACCCAGTGCCTCACACGTGCCAGGCAAGTACTCTATGTCTGAGCCACAACCCCAACCCATGAATACAATCCTTATGATGATATTGGTCCCTTTTACCCAACAATATTCCTAAAGAAAGAAATATCCCAAGATACATGTATAAGAATATTCTTGCTGGGCATGGTTGCACACACCTGTAACTACTGGGAGGCTGAGGCAGTTGGATCACAAGTTCAAAGCCAGTCTCAGCAACTTAGCAAGGCCCTAAGCAACTTAACAAGACCCTGCCTTTAAATAAAATAAAAAAGGGCTAGAGATGTGATGTGGCTCAGTGGTAAAACACCCCTAAGTTCAATTTCTGGTACCAACAACAAAAAAATCTGCCAGCCTTCAAAAATGAAAATAATTAGCAAAATGCTAATTAAAGTTAAAATTAGGCAGTCAAAAATAAATATAAGGACCAATCAAGTTGTATAAATATGTGCAGTCAATAGCCCCTTAACAATGGTTTAAAAAAATTAATGAGAAGGAGGATGTGTGTTTGACTTTCTCCAAAAGTTAAGACAGGAAATAAAACTTTAGCCAAATCTAAAAAAACATGAATAATAAAAACACAGAAAAAATAGAACCAAATCTAAATGCAATTTATTACACAATTGTTCTTTAAGGGTATTATTAATCCTTCTGTTGCCTAATTTTACATATTAAGTCATTAGTAAAAATTATTAGCAAATAATACATAACAAAATTACTAGCAAATAATACATAGTAAGATGCCAAAGGCAAAGGGTATTATAATCTTTTAAGCATAAATCACTATGATTAATATTCTAATCTGCAAAAAAATACTTGACATGGTTTTACAACTCTTATTAGTTAAAATTTCAAACTTAAAAGAACAGAATTAACATATTTTACATGAAGAATCTAAACAAGGTAGTACCAATTACAATAATAAAAAAAGAATTAAACAAAAATTTGAATTCATTTACATGAGGTAGAATATCACTCACTGCTTACCAGGATTATGATGAGTTGCAGATTCTCCATTCTGAAATACATCTCCTGCCACATTCATTCTACCAGGATTAAAAGGTCCTACTCCAGTCTTGGTCTGTGAAGTTAAAGATGGGGTGTATGTTTGTATATTAACACCAAAATTACTTGTCTGCAGTCCGTTAGAGACATCTCCCAAGTTGGTATTCTGCAGTGATGTTACATGTGTAATCATTAAGTTCATATCTCTCCCGTCAGTATTTTCTAATTGGCCATCATTCACAGAGCTTACACCTGTTTCTAAGGTGGTAACATTAGCAATCTGAATTTCAGAGTCAGGTTCTGTGGTGATACCACTATTACCCATTCCTGAATTTACCTTACTTCTTGAAAAACTGGAAGTAGAGAAATCCACATCATTGGTTCTATTTTTAGTCTCAGAAGGTCTCCGTTCTATAAAATTGGAGGAATTTTTTTCTTGCCCTTGATTTGTTTCCATGTCCTCTTCGTCATCAATGACAATTGTCTCACTTACACTTCCCTTCTGAGAAGCCAACTCTTTTGAGGAAGAAGTAATTTTGGAATCATTTCCTTGTAATTCTTCATTTTTTGACGAAGTAAATGTTATGTTTCTTTGATCAGTTACCACTGGTGCAGAAGGTGGGGGAGGTTGTACAGGTTCAATAAAAACAACATCATCATCGTCTTCCACTGATGAGTTTTGAAATTTATTAGATCTAGACACTAAAGGATTGGGTGGACCACTAAATGAATTTCCTACATTTGTGAGACCAGTTGCCATGGCCGTACTTCCCAATAAAACAGGAGTCTGCTCAGTCAGTTCTAATGCTCCCACTGAACTTGTGTCCATGCCAAAGAACCTGTTGGAAAAATAATAAAAACATCAGACTGTGACCTTATGTTATTAAACTAAAACCAATTTTTTGGTGGGGGGCAGAGGAATTACTGAGGTGAACCCAGCGGTACATTAACAATGAGCTACATCCCTCTTTTTGGGGTAGGGTACCAAGGATTGAATACAGGGAGCATTTAACCACTGAGCCACATTCCCAGCCCTTTTTTAGATTTTATTTTGAAACAGAGTCTCACTAAATTGCTGAGGCTCTCCCCATTGGGATTACAGGAGAGTGTCATGTCACCATGCCCAGCAGGAAATCTTTTTTTTTTTTTCTTTGTTTTGGTGGGAAGGAAGTACTGGGGATTGAACTTGAAAGCACTTCCACCACTGAAACACATCCTCAGCCCTTTTTTGTATTTTAGAGACAGGGTCTCACTGAGTTGCTTAGAGCATCACTCAGTCTAGTTTTGAACTCAAAATCCTCCTGCCTCAGCTTCCTGAGCTGCCTGGGATTACAGGAGTGCCCACCACACCTGGCTCTAAAACCATTTTTTAAAGGTACTTGCCCCCTCTCCCCCGCCAGGCTCAATTTGGGGACTGAACCCAAGAGGACTCTATTTACTATATCCAGCCCTTTTTAAATTTGGTGACAAGGTCTCACTAAATTGACAAGGCTGGCCTTGAATATTTGATCCTTTGCCTCAGCCTACCAAGTAGTTGGGATTATAGGCATGCACCACCACACCTGATTTATCTTCTTTTTTTTTAAACAATACTTTTATTTATTTATCATTATGTGGTGCTGAGGACCGAACCCAGTGCTTCACCCATGCTAGGTGAGTGCTCTACCACTGAGTCACAACCCCAGCCCCTCGCTTATCTTCTTTATAAGTGAAAATGCTCACAGAATGATCCATTCTGTGATCTTCTCAATTAGCTATTTCATATAGCTTACGTGTCAACTTCTACAGGAAAACAAGACAAACTATCTAATTTTCTGTATCCATGTGTTAAGTCCTACCACTACTATCTCCTTTCCAGGGTACACATTTACTCTATATCAACTTATCACTGAAAATGTAGGTAAATCATTCCACAAATTAGACCGGGAAAACAACCAAAAACTAACAATAAAAATAATCTTTCAATACACATCTATCCCATTTATCCAATGAATAAAATATGATCTAATTCCTCACTTCCCTTATCTCATCATCTTCTTTTAAATCCTTTTTCTTGTATTCCCTAGCTCCGATGTAAATGCACAGAACAATCTTTCTGAAAATTTGAAATCTCTGACTAATAGATGACGAGGTATTAAAAATTGTTAACTGAATGTCATAGCATTTTTCCTACTTTTTGGACCACATAATTTACCACAAATTTTTAAGCAACCTTTTTTGTTTTCTAATAATGCTGGGGATCGACGCTAAATTTAAAATTTTTAAAAGTTGGGGCTGGGGATGTGGCTCAAGCGGTAGCGCGCTCGCCTGGCATGCGTGCGGCCCGGGTTCGATCCTCAGCCCCACATACCAACAAAGATGTTGTGTCCGCCGAGAACTAAAAAATAAATATTAAAAATTCTAAAAAAAAAAAAAAATTCACAAAGTCAGTTATATTTGACACCAAACCTGTCCTTAAAAAAAAAAAAAATTTTTTTAAAGCAAAATGATAACAGAAGGTTGGTGATCAGAGAAACAACTCTTTAAGCAAATGACAGTTACAGTGAAATCTGAAATAGCAACAAGAATCCAACTATGGGAAAACCAGGCCAAAAAAAAAAAAGTTCCTGCAAAATGAAAAGAGAATAAGGTTGCCTGATTCAAGCAAAAAAAATTGCTATTGTTCGGATATTGAATGCCCCCCAAAGCCCATATGTTGAAGCCTTGGTCCCCAGTCCCTAGCACTATTGGGAGGTGGTGGAATCTTTAAAAAAAATGGAGCCTATTAAAGTAATTGGGGTATACCCTTGAAGAAGACGCTAGAATACAGGCCCTTCCTTGCTCTTTTTTCACCTCTCAGGCACTAAGAAGTGAGCAGCTTTCTCTGCTCCACTTTCCCACCACCATATGCCTCATTCATCATGGACGCCCCCCTCAAAAAAATGGTCCGACCATGGACTGAAACCTCCAAAACTATGAGCCAAAAGAAAAATCAATTTCAAAAGAGAAGAAGTTATCTCAGTGTTTGTTATAGTAAGAGAAAGATAACTAACAAGAATAAAGCCAATGTTGCTACAACTAACTAGGAGGGGAACTGGGCACATGCCTGTAATCCCAGTGGCTGGGGAGGCTGAAACCGGAGGATATTGAATTCAAAGCCAGTCCCAGCAAAAGGAAAGCACTAAGCAACTCAGTGAGACCCTGTCTCTAAATAAAATACAAAAAAGGGTTGGAGATGTGGCTCAGTGGTTAAATGGTTAAATGCCTCTGGTACAAAAAAAAAAAAAAAAAAAAACTAGGTGGGGAAAATGACAAAAGGAGGCACAGAAATAAACAAAGAACAATTCACCACAGCAAACAAGCTGATTCATAATTACATTCAACAGATTTACAGAGCACCTATTATGTATCAGACTGTTTTAGGTACCTGGGGAAAAGCTGGTAAATAAAACAAGTAAATATCCCTGGCCTCAGAAAACATGGCAGATGTGGGGGCACCCAGGTGTGGTGGCACGCCCCTCTAATCCTAACAGCTCAGGAGGCTGAGGAAGTAGGTTCACCAAGTTTGAGGCCTGCTTCAGCAACTTAGCAAGGCCCTGTCTCAAAAGAAAAAAAAAAAAAAAAAAAAAGTCAAGAGCTGGGTATGTGGCTCAGAGGTTAAGCACCCTTGGGTTCAATTCCTGGCACCAAAAACAAAACATAGAATTCTAAAATAAATGTTTGCATTTTACTGTAGCAGGAAACATAGCCAACATAAAAAATAAAAGTTCTCAAAAGTGAAGAAAGCTCCCCAAGACCACAGCCAGGAAGAATAGAGCTCAGGATTTAAATTGTCACAACATGTAATTAAGTATTGAACAATAATATAAGCCAATAATGCAGATCTTTTAAATTTAAAAGATGTAGCCACTCAATGAAACAATAACCAAATCAATATTCAAACCACACAGGCTTCAAAAGGAAGAAATATCAAGCCCAAAGGACTTGTTTTAAAAAATAATAAAGAGAGTTTTAAAAAATAATAAACTTGTAGTTGACATTTACTTCATAAGGCAGGAAGTATCTAGACCAACACAGCATTTTCAGAAAACTGAGACTTAACCTAAATCTACAAATATTATGATACATGTAGGCTTTTATTGTGTAAGTTATCCGGATCCTTCAATCCTTTCTGTGTTTCAGCATGCCTAAAACAGAATAAACCAATTTCTGGAACAGAAAAGTTATAATTGACCTAATGTTACCCTCTGGTGCCTACTAGGAGAGTTTAGTCTCCTCACAACAGACACAGAATAGATCTTTCCTTACCAAACAGTTAATTCTCTACAATTATATACTCAAAACAACGTAACTGGGCTGGAGTTGTAGCTCTTTGGAAAGTGCTTGCCTCACACATGTGAGGCACTGGGTTCCAATCCTCAGCACCACATAAAAATAAATAAATAAAACAAAGGTATCATGTCCATATAACTTAAAAAATTATAAAACAAAACAAAACAAAAAACATAACTCTGAAAGGAAAATCAAATTTTGACTGCAAATAAATCTAGTCACTGCTAAATGTCATTGAGAGTATGTCCTAAAAAAATAGTTCAATTGAAAGTTGACCATCATTAACCACACAAAATCTACTATATTTAGTCACTTTTCTTTCTTGTGGTGCTAGATATCAAACTCAGGATCTTCAGCATGCTAGGCAAGCACTCTGAGTTACCTCCCCAGCCCTTAGCCACTTTTCTACCTCAAATCAATTCTAATTACCTACTTAACATTGAGCAAATCACTTCTCTGAGCTTTAATTTTCTCTACAGGAGGGAAGAATGGTTTACAGGGCTGTTCTTAGAACTCAAAGAGATAACTTAGCACACTTAGCACACTCCTAAACAATCACTTAACTCCTGATAATTACCAGGCAACTTTTGCCTGTACCTCAGAATTTCAGTAACTCTCCAATTAATTTTTAGTTTCCTTATAATATTTCATCATCATCGTGCTTTCAAAGTTTTACTTGTTCTTTATTTTGCTTCAATGAGAATCAATTAACACAAAAGATGTTCTCATGATAAAACAACAAAAAGGTAAGGGTTAAAACAGAAATACTGACATATTTATAAAAAGAAAATCTGAACACTTGTTGATAAAAGCTTATGAACCTTCAAAGACAAAAATCACAAAGAAAGTACTTCAAAGTGCTTAACATTTATTAATCACTTTCTCACAGCCTATCTAAAAGCTTTGTTGGTACCATAAAAGAATTACAAACGAAGCTAAGATGAATTCTTCTGTATAGCAAAGAGTATTGTTCAATATGTTTGAGGCACTCTATTAGAGTTCGGGTCACTATGATTTTAGTTTAATTTGTGGGGGAGCAGGTATCAGGGATTGATCAGGGGCACTCAATCACTGAGCCACATCCCCAGCCCTAGTTTGTATTTTATTTAGAGATAAGGTCTCACTGAGTTCCTTAGCATCTGACTTTTGCTGAGGCTGGCTTTGAACTTGAGATCCTCTTGCTTCAGCCTCCAGAGCCACTAGGATTATAGTGGGCCGCACACCCAGTTTAAAAATTCTATTTTTATACACCTTTATTAGCCCTCCTAATAAGAATAAAAATTCCTTAAACAGGTAAGAATAGACTTATATATAACTAGTAAGCCAGAATATACCAAATTTAATGGGAAATACTAAAAGCATTATTATTAAACTCAAGAAAAAGACAAGTATGACAGATGTGGTGGCACATGCCAATAATCTCAGCTACTCAGGAGGCTTAGGCAGGAGGATCTCAAGTTCAAGGCCAGCCTGGGTAACTTAATAAAAACAAAAAGGGCTAGTGATGCAGCACAGTGGCAGAGCACTT